TAGGTTTCAATCCCTGGCTTTAGAAGTCTGACACTGCACAAATGTGCACACACTACATGCTCCCCTCACAGAGAAAACTGGAGTAGGGGAACAGAGCAGGACAAAATCGCAATACTACTACAGGACAACCTCATCATTCTATTACTTGTCCTTTGCTATGTTGGAATATTTATAGGTTAATTTCAACAATCAGGTTACTCTTTATCTTTGCTCTAAGTCTTGCACAGGTCTTTGGCAAAAAACAATAGAATTTTCACTTGACTCTCGGTGGGCTGGGGAATCTTGCCTGTACTACTGTTGGTTCACTCACATTCCCAAACAAGAACCTACAACCACGCTGTAACTTTATGTATGTAAAATCCATTCTACTCACCCCAGTGCAGTGGCCTGTGGCTCCTGGGCCCTGACTCCAATCCTTTTAGGGTGGACCTTGCAGTTGGAACCATCTACCTCTCGTTTTTTTCTACCTCTGCCATTAACATAGCCCCTCCTCTATTGCCTCACCAACTATTTTCAAACCAAAAACTCTTTGTCTATTCATAGCTACTGTAAAAGTAACATTCATTTTCTGTTTTTTAATCTAATGTCTGCGTCTTCAGTGGTTCTCACTGGCTAATCTAATCAGTGTGTTCTAGGGAGGTTTATTCCTTGTTTGTTCAGCTTGTCTCAGCACAATAAAGCTGAGGCATTTGCCTGGGGAGAATAAGCTCTTTTAAATCAGACAGTCCTCAGGAAAAATGTCAGGACTTTTGCCTCATTTCTCCATGGGCCCAAAATTCAGGAGAACATTCTACATTTCACTGCCACATAGCTCTGCAAACCTCAAATCCTGACTCTGGAGAAAGGCAGGGGCAAGGAAAACAAAGAAGGCATTTGAACAAACCAAACCCTGCAAGAAGAACTTTGCATACTTAGTGATTTTTCTAGGTTTATCCTGACTTTTGGCCTTTTTTTTTTTTTTTTTTTTAATGGAGTCTTGCTCTGTCGTCAGGCTGGAGTGCAGTGGCACTATCTCGGCTCACTGCAACCTCTGCCTTCTGGGTTCAAGTGATTCTCCTGCCTCAGCCTCCCAAGTAGTTGGGACTATAGATGCGTGCCACCACATCTGGCTAATTTTTTGTATTTTTAGTAGAGACAGGGTTTCATTGTGTTAGCCAGAATGGTCTCGATCTCCTGACCTTGTGATCTGCCCGCCTTGGCCTCCCAAAGTGCTAGGATTATACGCATGTGCCACTGTGCCCAGCCTGGCCTCTTTTTTTCATGAATTTCTTTTTTACAAGTGAGAAAGATGGTGACAGAGACAGTGGAATATGGGAAGTTTGGAGGAAGATGGGAAGGAAGAAGAGAGCCAGTGAGTAGAAAGTAAGAAACTGGAGTGGAGGGAGTGAGGGACACAGTGCTGGGGGATGGTGAAGAGGAACATGCCAGGAAGGTACAGTGTCTATGGGCACCCAGCATGGGGCTTGGTATATGCACACCTCATTTGAACTCTTAACAGTCCAGCGGGGAGAACATTCTTGTCCCCCACCTTACGAAGCTAGAACGAGGCTCAGAGACTCAAAGACAGGAAGAAAAGCTGGAGCTGGAAGCCCCATTAAAAAAGCAACTCTGCCCCTCTTTTTTCAGTCCCTTCTGTGGCTTCTCTAAGGGTCTTCAGCCTCCATATTTCAGGGTTGACCTCTTTCAGATAGGAAATTTATCTTCTGGTTGAAAGTCCTCAGTTTCTTCCTAGATCACATGGAGTTTTCCCTTGGCGGAAAAGGCTCATCCCTGGATCTAGGGCCTGCCGGTGGCAGACATGTAAAAGAACATGTTTTGGAGGCCACGGCCAAGCCAACACATTAATCCAACATTATAGTTTCTGTTAATAATCCACGGAATCAAAGGCTGGGAAGACTAAGGGAGATCAACACATGCTGGGTCACCAGAGACTTTCTTGGTTTTACCACAGAAGATCTGTGACCCAGGAAACCCCTTAGTCCCAGGAAGATCAGCACATCCTAGGCCAGAAACAGTTTCAGGCCTTAGGTAATTTCCAGCTGGTTGGGGATTCAACAAATTCAGAAGAATGTGAGGCTCCAAAAAGAAGCACAAAGGGAGGGAGGGGTTCAGTGAAAGAAAAATCACCCTTATTTGGAGGATTACTTTGTTCCAAATGTTCATGGGTTACCTGCTGGCCCTGTGTGTTAAATAAAAGCTTTGTGGAGAAAATGGCTTTGAAGATGCAGTGAAGGGGTAGGATAGGGGTAGGATTTAGAATAGCAGGACTACCAAGGAGTATCTGAGGCAGAGGGAAGAAGCCACAAAATATAAAGACGTAAGAGGTGGAAGGACATAATGTAAATATCCTGAGAACTGGAGAGCAGTTTCCATGGGCACAGGGCAGGTTTAGGGAAATAAAGCTTTCGGCCTGCGAAGACAGCCTGGGCATTCTATGGAGAGGAGTGTACATCAGCAAGCATGTCTGAAGTCAGAGGAATGTGGAATGGGACTTGTTACAAGAATGGAATAATTGGCTTCATAGTGGATTGTAGCACAGGTGGAAAGACCAGTTGAGAATTTACTGCCAAACATTAAAGTGAAACCCTTTGGTTTCTACCTACCCAGGTTTTGTTCAAATCATTTGGACATTAATTTCAGAGACATTAGTTTTGAGGTTTGTTTCTCACTTCACACAGGAATTTGAAGGTGAGCTTCATCTGGTTTGGTGAGGGCATAGGAAGGTTTGGGGCAGGGGCTGTCCCTTCAGGATGCACAAAGGGAACAGGTGTGCAGGCTCAGGAATCCTCCTAATGGAGGAAAGAGGGAGGGGCTGCCCTGGCAGCACTGTGCTTTCTTCCTCGTGTCTAGTATCCACTGGGAGTTGGCTGGTGCACTGCCTGTCTCCTTGTCCAGCCCTAATGCCACAATAGCTGTCAATCAAAGTATGTTCCTTGCTTATTTGAGAGCCTTTCTACCTTGCTAGAGAAAGCCATCTGAATGTTCTCTGTGAGCAAAGAGAAAAGCAGGGTGGCAGTGTGAGACCACAGCGTGAAGTCCCCTGATTGCTACTACCTGCCACAATATCCTGCTGCCACTGCCCAGTTCTGCTGTCTCTGAGCCTCAGTTTCCCACATGAACCGTATGACTGAAGTGGGAATGGTGGATTTTCTCCTAGAAGGGAAATTGCTAGGCATCAGGTCCAAAGTAGTGTACATAAACCCTTCCTCATATTCCAGCACTGCTTTGGAATTTTTTTTT